ATCATGTCTTTGCAACAGAGCAGATCTCAATGTGGGGTTAACCACCGTTTGTGGTACCAATGATGATGGGGGCAGGGAAAACAAAATGAGATAGAACAGGACAACGTAACCTAGACTTGAAAGGCACGGGCGAATTAAACGTGCTAGGTCACCTTGCTCCCGTTGGAGCAGCCCTGCAAGTGAAGACTCCCCTATCCACCCTGCACCCCTGGGAAGCACCATCATCATCTAAATGCAGATCAAATCAGTTACACACAGCAGGAAGCCCTAACAGATCACATTGGAGTTCTTTTGGAACAATGAGCAAGTTGGATTCTGAACAAGGAAAGACCTGAGCAGACCAGCTACTTTCACATTACTATCCACTGAGGACTCAACGCCCTGCTGATTCTCTGGTGTGCATAAGATATTAAGAGAGGAGTGTAGAACTTGATAGGCAAGTGTGTGTATGCATGAGTGCGCACATGTGTTTTGGGGGTGGGGGGGTGGAACAGGTAAAACCAGAACACTCTCTCCTTGCATGGATACAGTTCACAGCAATGGATATCAGCCAGAAAGAGGGTCACAATGTAAGGCCATAGTTTCTCAGCGTTTGCTACATTAGCTTAATCCTCTGAAGCCCTGTTTGACAAGAGTGCACGCAGTGCAGAGATAAGGCAGGCAGGCAGGCCTCCGCGCCCAAAACACTGGAAGCAGGCGCTATCTGCAACTTGGCCAGTTGTGCAATGGCAGTGACATAATTCCTTTAAAAAGGAAGGAGAAATAAGTCACCTCCTGGCCGTCTGTGCAGGGTGATTGGTGCTGGGGCTGCACACCCAGGGGGAAAAGGCCCATACTGACAACACCAACAAGCGAGACTACTGGAGGCTTGGGCGTGAGCAAACTTGGGGTGAAAGAAAAGGATCCCGACTCACTGCCCGCAGCTTCTTTGCGTGTGTCAACCCCCAGGAACTGGATGATTAGGGGAAGGAGGGGCACACGCTTCCCTGCTAGGCAGCTTACACGGAGGGCAGAGGCGTCCGGGGGATGGGGGGGGAGAAGGCGCATCCCCGTGTAACACCCCAACCCAGTCACCCTGCCCCCAAACTCCGGGGCAGATCTCTGGGAGGGGGCGGGGGCAATTCCTCCCGGGCAGCCCGCTCCTACCTTCTCCCCTCTGCTCAGCACCTGGCAGGGCCACCCCTCCACCGACCCGAACAGGGAGTTCCTGATCATCCCAAACATGCTGCCGGGGTAGCGCGCCGTCCCCCCCGCGCCGGGCCGCGCCGCGCCCCTGCAGCGGCTCCTCCTCCCCGCGGGGCCCCGCCCCGGCAGCCGTCACCTGCCCGCTGCCCCCCTTGCTGGCCGGCGTGGGGGCTGGGGAGGCGAGGCGGGGGAGGGGGCGGGTGCACCCGACGAGTCCGAGCAGAGGGGCCCTTTCAGGGGCCCTCCCACGCCCGGGCTTCCGCGGGGGCGGCCCTCAGCGGGGAGCGGGCTGATCCTGGGTGACTGGCCCACGTGCCTTGGATCTCGGGCACCGGAAAGGCCAGAGCCGGGCGCTGAGCCCCGTCCCCTGCGCTTTCAGCCCGCGTGCGCCCGCCGCCCGGGGCACGGCATCATCCTTCCGCCATCGCCCCCTCGGTGGCGATGTCTGGGGGCTAACTTGCAGGACAGGCAATCAGAAGAGCTCTTGCGAGCCCTGCCACAGTCTTTCCAATGTGGCCTCGGGCAAGTCACTTAAGCCTAGGCTGACCGGATGTCCCAATTTTATCGGGACAGTCCCGATTTTGGGGTCTTTTTCTTATATAGGCTCCTATTACCCCCACCCGCTGTCCTGATTTTCCACATTTGCCGTCTGTGAAACTTAAACCCTACTTAAACTCAGATCCTCCAAGGTGTTTAGGTGTCTAGCTCTTAATGACTTCAATGACAGGTGCTTACATATCTTTGAAGATCTGGGGCTTCAACTCTCTGTACCACCTTCCCCCCTATCAGTAGCACTGGGCTATGGGGTAATATCTGCTCCACAGTTATTTCTGTTTGTGTTTTGAGATCCTCAGGGCCTAGGTGTGTGTAAAGGGGTGGCTTGTACAAGGATGTAAATAGTTTAGCTGTAGATTTTATTAATATAGGAAGGATTATAATTTGGGGTTTGGAACTGGGAAAAGCTGATGCCTCTGAGGGTGAAGCAATGGAACAAATTGAGAAACTCTGGCATAATAAAGCACAGGATCAGATGGTATTCGTCCTGGAATGTTGTGATACACAAAGGGGGGAGAGGGATAGCTTCCTTTGATGGACACCCAGCCAGACAGTTAACTGTAAAATCCCTCTTGGTAGTTAACCTTGGGAGTTTAATACAAGCCTGGAGTGGCAAGTATTATTTTTTAAAATCCTTGCAGGCCCCACTTCTGCACTTGGAGTGACAGAATTGGGATTCAGCCTTGACAGATGTAGAGGGGGATCTGAAGGAAATAACAGGTGAAATACAGGAAATACAGACAAATATGTGTAATATACAGTATACGCTGAAGAAAGGTAAGTGTTCCTTAAGACTGTAAAATCATGAAGACGATGCTCATTTTTGAATGAAAGAAGCCAAGGGGATGCTGGGGATTACAGTTTCTGTCTAGTTAATAAATGTTAGCTAAAGCCCTATAATTTATTTGGGTTTTCCAAAATCTTTATGCAATAGATTTTTAAAGGTACACATGGAAGTTAGGTGCCCATCTCCCAATGACATTAATGGCATTTGAGTGCTTAATAACCTTAACTTCTTTAAAAATGGCAGACTGTCTGTCTAGATACTTATATGGTCCCCTTCATCTTGCTATCTGACTGTCTCATGGTCATTAATGAAATGTATCCTCCCAACACACTTGTAAAGTATACCCCATTTTACAGGTGGGGAACTGAGTCACAGTGTAGATTAAGTGATTTACCTAAGATCACTTAGAAAGTCAGGGTGGACATGGACTCCACCAAAGGGACTTAGGAATTGTGACATTGAGCATCACAACACCTAACTTAGATGCCTAGAAACTAGGGCTGTCAAGCGATTAAAAAAATTAATCAAGATTAATGGTGCGATTAAAAAAATTAATTGCAATTAATCACACAGTTAACGAAGAATAGAATACCATTTATTTCAATATTTTTGGATGTTTTCTACATTTTCAAATATATTGATTTCAGTTACAACACAGAATTCAAAGCATACAGTGCTCACTTTATATTTTTATTACAAATATTTTCACTGTAAAAAACAAAAGAAATAGTATATTTAAATTCACCTAATACAAGTACTGTTGTGCAATCTTTATAATGAAATTTGAACTTACAAATGTAGAATTATGTACAAAAAATAACTGCATTCAAAAATAAAACAACGTAAAACATTAGAACCTACAAGTCCATTCAGTCCTACTTCAGCCAATTGATCAGACAAACAAGTTTGGTTACAATTTGCAAGAGATAATGCTGCCCCCATCTTGTTTAAAATGTCACCTGAAAGTGAGAGATGCGCTAAAGATTCATATGTCCCTTCATGCTTCAACCACCATTCCAGAATACATACATCCATGCTGATGACGGGTTCTGCTCGATAACGATCTAAAGCAGAGCGGACCGATGCATGTTTATTTTCATCATCTGAGTCAGATGCCACCAGCAGATGGTTTATTTTCTTTTTTGGTGGTTTGGGTTCTGTAGTTTCCGCATCGGAGTATTGCTCTTTTAGGATATCTGAAAGCATTCTTCACACCTCACTCCTCTCAGATTTTGGAAGGCACTTCAGATTCTTAAACCTTTGGTCGAGTACTGTATCTATCCTTAGAAATCTCACATCGGTACCTTCTTTGCGTTTTGTCAAATCTGCAGTGAAAGTGTTCTTAAAACGAACAACATGTTCTGGGTCATCATTCGACATTGTTATAACATGAAATATATGGCAGAATGCAGGTAAAACAGAACAAGGGACATATAATTCTCCCCCAAGGAGTTCAGTCACGCATTATTTTTTGAATGAGCATCATCAGCGTGGAAGCACGTCCTCTGGAGTGATGGCCAAAGCATGAAGGGGCACATGACTGTTTAGCATATCTGGTACGTAAATACCTTTCAACGCCGGTTACAAAAGTGCCATGCAAACAACTGTTCTCACATTCAGGTGACGTAAATAAGAAGCAGTCAGCGTATCTCCCATAAATGTAAACAAACTTGTTGTCTTAGCAATTGGCTGAACAAGAAGTAGGACTGAGTAGACTTGTAGGCGCTAAAGTTTTACATTGTTTTGTTTTTGAGTGTAGCTATGTAACAAAAAAAAATCTGTTTTGTAAGTTTGTAAGTTACATTTTCACGATAAAGAGATTGCACTACAGTACTTGTATGAGGTGAATTGAAAATACTATTTCTTTTATCATTTCTACAGTGCAAATATTTGTAATAAAAATAATAATATAAAATGAGCACTGTACACTTTGTATTCTGTGTTGTAATAGAAATCAATATATTTGAAAATGTAGAAAAATATCCAAAAATATTTAATAAATTTCAATGGGTATTTTATTGTTTAACAGTGCGATTAATCGCGATTAATTTTTTAAATTGCAGTTAATTTTTGTGAGTTCATCGCATAAGTTAACTACGATTAATCAACAGCCCTACTAGAAACTCATAGGAGCAAGACTATAATCAACAAAGTCAGAGCTAGACACTTAGGCTTCTATACCCTGAACAGGGAGAGAGGTGCCTTAGAAGGCTATCCACAAAGCCAGCACCTATGCTAGCCAATGGGAGATGCCGATGAGAGAAGTGTGTGCTAAGTGCCTAAATCCATGCTGCAGGGAGGCACCTAGTGATTAATAAACCAGGGGAAGATGATGGATGCTCAGCTGCCTAAGTCATGTGTGGAGTCTGATCTGATAGGCATACTCAGAGGCTGTTTACCAGATTGAGCCCCTCAGGTGAGTTCACCAGAAACAGCTGAGATGCCCAGTTTTCCTTATGCGCTCCACAGTCTCTGTGAGAGTAAGGGGGAGACGTTTATGGCAGGGTGGGAGGTTGAGGCAAATCGCCTGGCTGCTGGTTACGCGCAGCCCGACACCAGGGCGGTTAGAAGAGCACAGGAGGGTGCAGTGCGCATCAGAGAAGCTTTGAAAACCAGTTTCATGACTGGCCAGGTTACAGTGTGAAAATTCTGTTTGTTTCTCCTTGATGAAACTCCCCCGCCCCTTGGTTCACTCTACTTCCCTGTAAGCTAACCACCCTCCCCTCCTCCCTTCAATCACCACTTGCAGAGGCAATAAAGTCATTGTTGCTTCACATTCATGCATTCTTTATTAATTCTTCACACAAATAGGGGGATAACTGCCAAGGTAGCCTGGGAGGGGTGGTGGAGGAGAGAAGCACAGGGAGGGGTGGTGGAGGAGGGAAGGACAAGGCCACACAGCACTTTAAAAGTTTAAAACTTTAAAACTTATTGAACGCCAGTCTTTTGTTGCTTGGGCAATCCTCTGGGGTGGAGTTGCTGGGTGGCCGGAGGCTCCCCCCACCATGTTCTTGGGCATCTGGGTGAGGAGGCTATGGAACTTGGGGAGGAGGGCGGTTGGTTACACAGGGGCTGTAGTGGCAGTCTGTGCTCCTGCTGCCTTTGCTGCAGCTCAACCATACGCTGCAGCGTATTGGTTTGATCCTCCAGCAGCCTCAGCATTGAATCCTGCCTCCTCTCATCATGCTGCCGCCACCTTTCAGCTTCAGCCCTCTCTTCAGCCCGCCACTTACTCTCTTCAGTCCGCCACCTCTCCTCCCGGTCATTTTGTGCTTTCCTGCACTCTGACATTGTCTGCCTCCACGCATTCGTCTGTGCTCTGTCAGTGTGGGAGGACAGCATGAGCTCGGAGAACATTTCATCACAAGTGCATTTTTTTCACCTTGTAATCTTCATTAGCCTCTGGGAAGGAGAAGATCCTGTGATCCTTGAAACACATGCAGCTGGTGGAGGAAAAAAAAAGGGACAGTGGTATTTAAAAAGACACATTTTATAGAACAATGGGTACACTCTTTCACGGTAAACCTTGCTGTTAACATTACATATACAGCACATGTGCTTTCGTTCCAAGGTCGCATTTTGCCTCCCCCCATCGTGTGGCTAGCCCCTCACCCCTCCCCGTGGCTAACAGCAGGAACATTTCTGTTCAGCCACAGGCAAACAGCCCAGCAGGAACAGGCACCTCCGAACGTCCCCTGAAGAAAAGCAGCCTATTTCAACCAGGTGACCATGAATGATATCTCACTCTCCTGAGGATAACACAGAGAGATAAAGAACGGATGTTGTTTGAATGCCAGCAAACACGCACTGAAATGCTTTGTTCTACAATGATTCCCAAGTATGTGCTACTGGCCTGGTGTGGTAAAGTGTCCTACCATGGTGGACGGAATAAGGTTGCCCTCCCCACAATCCTTTTGCAAAGGCTTTGGGAGTACATCCAGGAAAGCTGCAAATGCCAGGGCAAATTAATCATTAAACATGCTTGCTTTTAAACCATGTATAGTATTTTAAAAGGTACACTCACTGGAGGTCCCTTCTCCGCCTGGTGGGTCCGGGAGGCAGCCTTGGGTGGGTTCGGGGGGTACTGGTTCCAGGTCCAGGGTGAGAAACAGTTCCTGGCTGTCGGGAAAACCGGTTTCTCCGCTAGCTTGCTGTGAGCTATCTACAACTTCATCATCTTCTTCTTTTTCGTCCCCAAAACCTGCTTCCGTGTTGCCTCCATCTCCATTGAAGGAGTCAAACAACACAGCTGGGGTAGTGGTGGCTGAACCCCCTAAAATGGCATGCAGCTCATCATAGAAGTGGCATGTTTGGGGCTCTGACCCGGAGCAGCCATTTGCCTCTCTGGTTTTCTGGTAGGCTTGCCTCAGCTCCTTAAGTTTCACGCGGCACTGCTTTGGGTCCCTGTTATGGCCTCTGTCCTTCATGCCCTGGGAGATTTTGACAAAGGTTTTGGCATTTCGAAAACTGGAACGGAGTTCTGATAGCACGGATTCCTCTCCCCATACAGCGATCAGATCCCGTACCTCCCGTTCAGTCCATGCTGGAGCTCTTTTGCGATTCTGGGACTCCATCATGGTCACCTCTGCTGATCAGTTCTGGCCAGTGTGGCAAGCTGCAGGTGACCATGCAAACAGGAAATTGAAATTCAAAAGTTTGTGGGCCTTTTCCTGTTTTCCTGGCCAGTGCATCTGAGTTGAGAGTGCTGTCCAGAGCGGTCACAATAGAGCACTCTGGGATAGCTCCCGGAGGCCAATACCATCTAATTGCGTCCACAGTACCCCAAATTTGACCCGGCAAGGCCGATTTAAGCGCTAATCCCCTTGTCGGGGGTGGAGTAAATAAATCGATTTTAAGAGCCCTTTAAGTCAGAAAAAAGGGCTTCATCGTGTGGACGGGTGCAGGGTTAAATCGATTTAACACTGCTAAATTCGACCTCAACTCCTAGTGTAGACCAGGGATCACTTTCTTCCCAAAGCTAGCAAGAGCAGAAACACTGCAGGGAGGGTGACAAGGGAAGGAGAGCGTGCATCATTTTCCTACAACTTCCTTCTGCTATTCAAATGGAGTTTCACTGATGAACTTCAAAAGGGAAGTCCTGTGAGTCAAGGAAACTCCTGAGATGTAAGGCCTTAAGAGGAGAAGTACTTCACAGAGGTTTACTGGAAAGAAAATCTTCCATTTTCTCCTGAATCAAACCAGCGTCTCTCTCATAAGAGCTAAGCATGCTAACTATCTGACTGGTCCAGAAATTCACATTTAAATCAAACAAAACTGAATATAGTGGTTACAAGAGTATGTATCATATGCTCACTGAGTGATAGATCTGTGCTAGAACTGAACCAGGAAAGCTCCTCTCAGAATTCCTTGGTTAATCATCTGGGGACAGACTGGAACGTGGTGAGTTCGGCACCTAACCTACGGAGGCACTTCTGAGAATCCAACTAGGCACCTATCTGCATCTTTAGGAGCCTAAATGCTTCTGAAAATCTGGCTCCTGGTCTCCAAGGCCCAGATCCTCAACTGTATTTAGGAGCCTAAATCCCACTGAAATCAGTGTGAGTGAGGTGCCTACATACATTTGAGGATCTGGGCCCAAGTGGCTTGGTTGGCAGTGCAGTGTTTTAAAGACTGCTGTCAAGATCAGGGCCTACATTGCAAAAGTGATTAGTGATTTTTGCACCCCTAAATAGATGCCTAAAAGGGACCTGATTTTCAGAAGGTGGGTGCTCTGCACTTTATCAAAAAACAAGCCCCATACAGTGTCTTAAAGTGGGCCCCCCAAAACTGAGGCATCCTAAACCACTAGCAATGTTTGATAATGTAGGCACTGTTCCCTGTTATCCAATGCCTTGTGAAGGCCCTCCTCCCTCACACTCTTTAAAAACACCTGCTTATCAACAGAACATGCTTTATATGTACAGTTTATAGATTGAGGCCAAAATTTTAAAATGTAGCTGCTTAATGTTTTGCATCTAAATAAAAGTGGTCTGGTTTGTTTTCAGTGGAGCTAAGCAAGCACAATTCTCCCTGAAGTCAAATGCTTAGCACATTGAAAATCAAATCACTTTTATTTTGGTACCTAAATGTGAAGTTAGGTGCCTAACATTTGAAAATTTTGGCCTAAGTATCCATCTGTATACGTGATCCCCCAACCCCTGAGTCAATAGTTCTCTGTGAAGTCGGATAAAGAGAAAAAGGCATCTGATCTGTATAGAAGGGATATAGTTGGCAATCCAAAGGAAATGTGGGGACGACTGTATAGGGGAAATATACAAACGCTTAACTGGATTGAGATCAACAACTCATCACACATGGGTCACCACACAGCCATCATCACAGAGCTGCACGGGATTTGACCCAATGACCTAGATTTGCAAGGCAGCTCCATAACCCATAATTGCCAGTCTCCTCAGGCATCCAGACCCTCACTCATACATGTGTTACTTTATTCAGTCTAATAGTCTCTCATTGATAAAGACTTGCAGAAAAGAGAAAGATAGAAATGTTTGTTGTTGTTTTTTTGGAAAAGAGCTAATTCCGCTGAACTCTCCTGCGGATATACATCCTCCTCCTCTGAAAAGGGAGTCTTCTCAGCTGCATACTGCTGAGCCTCTGGCGCCTCAGGGCATTGAATCGGGTAGGAAAGAAGGCCCTGCTCATAACACTGAGTCGTTCGTTCAGCTCTTCCAGCCTCTTCTTCATTGACCGTACTTCCTTCAGAAGGTCATCAAGTGCCTCGGAGACGGGATGGAGGCTGTAGAAAGAGGGGACAGCACAGGTAGAATGACCACTGACTGGGAACCACTACTTAAGACAGAAAGTAAAACAACTAATATCTTATACTTTTATACTGTCTTTCATCCTGGCAGATTCCCAAGTAATATATAAAATGGGCTCTTTTATTTTCAGAAGGGACCGGTGATCTAGAGTCCTTCAGTTTTTGGGTGCCCAACTTGAGATACCTTAAAGGGGCCTGATTTTTAGAGGACAAGTGCTCAGCACTTTCTGAAAATCGGGCTCCTTTAAGGTGTCACAAGTTAGGCTTCCAAAATCACTAGTTACTGTTGAAAATTTAGACCAGTGGTGAGCAAAGGGATATATATCTCCAAATACTGGGCTATGTAGACCACTTCACAGCCTTTTAGGGCAGGAAGTGAAGAATAGCATTTTCTACTGAAATTACCAGAGTAATTTGAGTGGGCAGAATGGAATTATCCAAGCTGAAACTTGCCAAGATAACCAGGCTAGCACCCCTAGTCTTGTGAAAGTGTCAGGGGATCTTTAATGGGCACAAATGTCCCAGACCAAAGTCTTACATCCTGTCTGAAAGACAGCACACCCCTTAGCACCATGCTGGACCATCTGGCTCAGTACAGAGTTAGAGGGAAGAGAGCTGCCCTGAATCACTAACGCTGCTAGCTATACCAGCATCTAGTTTCTTTTGGAGATCTTCCATCCAAGTCTCAACCCTGCCTAACTGAAGAGATCTGATAACTTTAGAATCTCAACTGTTATTTGTTATTATTGTTGTTATTAATCCAGTAGCAGCCATCATGTGTTAAGATCCCCCCCCCCTCAGGTATTTAAGTCACAGTCCCTGCCCTGAAGAATTTACAATCTAAGAACTGTAATACTATGCTATAAAATTGGATGGGGAACAAACTATATTGATACCAGTATTTACAGGGAAATTCATGCCCTTTTTGAAGAGCCCACACATGATGTAACTACCAACTAAATCCCACTTAAACCTTAATTTGAATAGACATTGTACAGGCCTTCTGCACAAGTGAACTTCACCCTGATACCTAGAGCTGGGTGGAAAGTCAGAAAATAAACGGGAAAGATAGCGATGATATTTTTGCAACGTTTCCTTTTTTTTGGACCAGCTATAGAGCTTGTCCATTTTTTTTCTAACTTGAAATTTTTGAAACAAAACAAAGCAGGAAGAAACCTTTTTGCAAATCCCTGCCCCCCCCTCCCCCTTTTCAATTTTGGCATTTCCCTCTGATCCTCTGATTCTAGCATTTCCTAGACAGCTGTTTCTCGTTAGAGAAAAGCCTGTGTTATGAATGAGAACTACTTGTTCTGCAATGGCAGCATTCAGTAGCATTGCTCTGAGTGAGATTCAACTTTTTATACATTGTTTTATTTCCTTTCCTCTTTCTCTCTTCCCTATGGTTAGACTCATGCTTCACTATCTGTCAGTAGCCTGGGGCTACAGCAACATAAGAGGACTGTGTTAAACTCATAGTGGTTAGTAATTTCTGAAATACGAGCTGGGAAAATGTGAGTTGATGGACTAGAGAGCAGTTTTGTGTAACTAGAGAAGTTCCATAGACTAAAATCATAGAGATTCCAGGTCTCCCCTTCACTGCCCCCCGGCCAATTCTAGATTTTCCTTGCAGCGTATTCCCAGCTCAACTACTTTGTCCAGCCAAGCTTTCTATGTCTCACATAATGGGGCTTCCTGCTCTTCCTTTGAGATAATTTTTCCACAGTCTAATAATGGTTATTAGGAAATATTTAGGAATATTTAACCTACAGGATATTCAGCTATTCAAAAATTGTTCAGGGAGCATTTTGTAGTACGTGCTATTTCCTCCTGCTTTGGGATGAGTAGGAGGATGCAGACAGTGGAATGATGCAACATACACAGAGAGAGGACACTGATCTGAACACTGAATCCTGCCGTTAGCTGATGGGAGTTACCTGGAGAACTCGGGCAGCAGACTGTTAGGGTGACTCAGTAAGGAGTGTTTCATTTGCCAGAAGATGCTGTTCCCCCATTTCTCCAGCATACGAGTGACACTGTTAATGCCGTGGATGTTGACTTTGTCTGCTGTGTTAGCAGAATGCCATGGGAGAGGAGATTTGAGGGAACAAAGAAACTCATTAGCCATTTGTCTCATTTGGTAAGACGGACCTTCACATTTCCCCACTTAACTCAGAGGGCAACCTGGATGAGAACCATATGCTCATTCTCAGTAAATTGCATTGATATACTCCTCTTGAAAGACTATGTATGAGAGCTAACGCTTCCCCAACAAATACCTTCCACCGCCTCCCACTGCTTTACCCTCCTACTGTCACCGGACACCCTTCTTCCCGAGCCCCACTGCACTGACTAAAATAAGAACCTCTCAACCTGACTCCCAGTTGCCAGGGTCCTCCTACTACTTCTGGACAAAAATTCTTCACCAATCTCACTGGGTTCCTATCTCCTAAACATGTACTCTACACAGCCCTCCTCCTGGATGCAGGAACTCTCTTGTTTTCCTCACACATGGAGAACAATAGACCTTTTTCTTATCTGTAGGTTTCTCTGTATTATCTGCTTGAAAATAGGGTAGTGCGCTCAGGACTACTTGCCTCTCTCAAAACCCCTGCATCAAACTGACCCATCCTCCCAGACAAAGAGGCCCCAATTTATCCTTGCCTCACAGACCTTTTATGCTCTCTCTCACAATGTAAGGGATTTGTAAAGCATCAGTCCCCTGGAGATTTCTTTTTATATAAGGGGAGTAACGGACAGGTTTGGAGTCAGTGGAGCCTAGAGTATTTTCTGTGGATGTTCCCTGGAAGATATAGGTGTAGTTGAGAGGCATTCGTATGCCATGGCTATTCCCAGCCGCTAGAACAGCCAGAACCAGGAAATGGAGAGAAAACCACACAATGGTTGTGCTGGGCATGGAGTGAGGGGGTGTTGGTTGTGTTTTGAGTGAAGAATTATATCGGTTCATATTTTTGTCCTGACCACATCTCTCCTGTTCCTAAACAATGGATGGTAACCCCGCTCCTACCCCATACCTTGTTCTGTCAGTAGGACCTTAAAACGAGCAGTCCAGATTGAGGATTGCAGGTTTTACTAGGGATAAAATAAGAACTAACCTAAACCTTTGTCAGCCACTTGAAGATAATCTTCTCCATACTCTCTCTGATTCCCCCTACCTGTGTCTCTTACCTCCTTCTCTGTAGTTCCACCTCTGAAGCTGATTCAGAAAGTCCTTCTGACAACCACAGTTGAGCAGGAGGAGGAAGAAGAGGAGAACTGGGAGAACACCCATGATGGAGGCTAGCTGGACCTTCAGCTCCTTACTTCTGCAGTGAGACAGATAATATCATTCACCCCTTTAATCCTTCCTTCTCTCTTCTCTTTCTATCCCTCTGATGGCAAATCCATTTAAGAGAATGCTGAGGTCAATTCAACTTCTATATAAGCAATGGGGCCTATCCTGCAATTCCCTGCAGTGTTTTTCTCAAACAATTGAGGGGTACAGGGCTCTCATAAATATGAAGTAACTAATACAATATTTTTTCTTAATAATTCTTTGCAGTTTGATAACACCTTCCACCCAAGGACTTCAAGGCACTTTAAAAATACTAGCAAAGTAAGTCTTACTAGATCACCATGAGGTAAGGAAACATATCCCCATTTTACAGTTACAAAGATTAAGGTATGAATTGGTGAATTGATTTGTCAAGCTTTAGAAGATTATGGTAGAGGCAAGAATGCAAATCACATCTTTTAGGGACTAATTCAGTGTCCAATGAAGTCAATGGGTAGGGTTTTCCATTAATGTCATTGGATGCTGGATCAAGCCCTGCATTCCCTCGCTTGTGTCTTACCTTCTATATTGTCCTTCCTTCCTGCAGACGATCTGAACTATGAAGAGTTAATTTTTTAAGCATAATTTGGTGCTGGGTGAAAGGTACTAAGATGACTACCCCTGCAAACCAAAGTCCTCAGTTTATCTCCAGGATGTATATAACATATAGATCAGAGGGGAAAGCTCCTCACATTCCTTCTACTCCAGGATCTTTCCCAGTATAATTTAATTCATCCCTAGCCTATCGGATTTACTGTGTAGGGATTATGTATAAATGTAAGAGGACAAATCAGTGTCTGTGACCTTTTCTTTCTGCCCCTTTGTTAAGACTGCCAACACAGGAGTCAGGTAATCCCAGCTGGTGATGCCAATAGTTTTTGTAACATGGACAGCTGTCCATATAGGAACTGACTAGAAACACCAATTCTGCACATACTGTGTATAAATAGAAATCTGTTCCATTGATGCAATAGTACATTGCCAAATTCATGTTACCATTCAGGATTATTAGCAGTGATTTATATTCTAGTTATTAATCATAGTCATGGAGGTGCCCATTTCAGAAATGGGCACATTTAGAAAGCCCAAATTACTGTGACATTCAGGTCATACGTCAAATCGAAGACCTTACTGCAAACTTTGAGGAAATTAAATTACCTTTCCAGTGACATATGACCTTCGTCTCCTAGTAGCCTGGGAGAAGTTTCAGTCCAACCATTTAGCATTCTCAATGTATAGCAGAAATTGAGACAAATAAGGAGGAATCTGAGTGCACCATTTTATTTCATTATATTTAAATAACTAATTATTTTTTATTTTACATCATGCTTATTTTTATTCATAGTCACATTAGCAATATAAATACAGCGATATTAATATTAAAATGACACACTATTTAAAAAGTAATGCATTTCACATATCAGGGATTTGTGATCAAAATTCATCCTCTTAATCATTTTTTAAATGGAAAAAAGGGAATTGTCCTTCCCGTAACACCCACCCACCCACATGCATGCACAGAGCTATTCTCACCAAAGGCTGCCAAAATGCAGAACTCTTTTTAAAAAGTTTGATTTTTACCAGAAATGCATCACTGTGGCCTGTGGTAAAAATACCTTCACTGACCTTCTCTGTACTATTCATTGTTGGAACCATGGCTCCCCTTTCTCTTCTCCTTTCTGAATAAATGAGCCCTAGCCTATTGGGCTTATTTTGTTTATTGTCTACATAAGAAAATCTCTTTCTAAGCTTTCCCAATAGGAAAGAGTTTACTAAACTCTGGGGCTTCTAATTTCAAACTGTCTTACAGTGCAGTTCAGATCAGGGAGGCTGGATTGCTTTTCAACTCATTTAAAAAAAGAAAATCATCCACCACAATCCTTATCCCCAGCCTCTGCCTATTTCAGTACCGGGTTACTTTGGTCAGTCTAGATGTATGAAATAAAAGGTGATAATAAAACCTCCCCACATCTGGTATTGAAAACCCAACCTATTTGATCTCAGGATCTCTGAAACATCAAATGTTCAAATAAAATAAAAGACCCAGATGTTTTATTTCCAGGGCCCCTTAGACCAGTTCCCCTTCTGCCCGATTCCTTGAATTCTTGAGAGTCAACTACAGTATTATTTATTATCCTATAAGTATTATTGCATAATAATAATTGATTTAAGGTCCTATATCTCGGACCCTTACCCATGTAAATCATTTTTACTCCCTTAGGTAGTCCCATGGAAATCAATTCACTAGTAAGGACTACTCACACGAGTACAAGCTTGCAGGATCATATTCTTTATAGGCCTGAACTAGAGAACTTTGAAGACATGGGCTTTGGATCAGGCATTATATTCCGAAGGTCTATTGTTGCAGTTTAAAACAATGCTAGTAGACTGTTATATTTGTAATAAAAAAAATCCTAAATGCTAGAAATTCAGAAAATTTGCTGTAAGATTCCAATTCCAGCCTTAGCCTTCATCCTCCCCACTTTCCATTTATAGCCTGGAGGCCCTGACCAGTTGCCAAGTCTACCCTGTGTAGCACGGTATGTGAGGTCCCCAGTATTTTTTCTGTGTGTGTGATGATATAACCCTTCAGCCTACACCAGGTCTGGGACATTGTCTGCAATGTTTCACCCGAGAGACAGAGTGAATTAAGGACAGACCTTGCCAGCCTGCAAATTTGAACTCTGTACTGGAAAGGCCCCCTTGATTTCTTAGCAGGCACCTTAGTACAAAACGGATTGCTGATGGCCTGCTGCCAGTGCCACTTGGAGGGCATAGATTGAAAGACAAGAGAAACGGGTTGTGTCTCAATCACACTCAGGTTACTCTGTTTGATGTGGTGATTGACTGAGAGAATGGAGGTGGGATAGATGGACATTGTCAGTCACATGCTGCCTGAGATGCAAAGAGGCTGCCAAGCAGCTTTAGGACACACTCGCCCGCTCCACTCTGCCTTCCAGAGAAGTGGCAGAAGTAAAGCCCCCATTTGAGTGCATGGGATACTCTAAGGTCTGCAGCCAGTATGTGTAAAATGGACAGGTCAAAGAGAGCTCTCTGTATCTGAAGGGCATGCTCCCCAACCTCTGTCAGGAGGGTGGCCAGGGGCGGGTACTGTGGGTTTTCCAGCCTGTGCAGAAAGGGAGGGCGTGGAAGGTAGACTGAGCTGTCTGGCCCACAATGAGATGGCAGATGAAAAAGGGGGAGGGTTGATGGACTGTATACGAAGGGCAAGATGTTAAATGTTGCAGTTTCCGGTGTGTGCCAGCTGACTCGGGCTCGCAGGGCTTGAGTTGTGGGGCTGTAAAATTGCCTTGGAGGTGTTTGGGCTGGAGCCTGAGGTATGGGACCCTCCCTCTCAAGGGGTCCCAGAGCTTGGGCTCCAGCTGAGCCCAAATGTCTACACGTCTACACTGCAGTCTTACAGCCCCACAGCCTGAGCCCCATGAGCCTGAGTCAGCTGACACAGGCCAGTTGTGGATGTTTAGGTACAGTGTAGATATACCCTGACGTGATCAGTGTCTGAAGATTAGACAATTTTGTATAAATATTAGGGCTGTCAATTAATCGCAGTTAGATCACACAGTTAACTGAAAAAAATGAATCGCGATTAATCGCAGTTTTAATTGCACTGTATACGATAGAATACCAATTGAAATTTATTAAATATTTTGGATGTTTTTCTACATTTTCAAATATATTGATTTCAATTACAACATAGAATACAAAGTGTACAGTGCTCACTTTATATTATTTTCATTACAAATATTTGCACTGTAAAAATGATAAACAAAAGAAATAGTATTTTTCAGTTCATCTCATACAAGCACTGTAGTTCAATCTCTTTATCATGTAGTGAAATTTACAAATGTAGATTTTTTTTGTTACATAACTGCACTCAAAAACAAAACAATGTAAAAGTTTAGAGCCTTCAAGTCCACTCAGTCCTACTTCTTGTTCAGCCAATCGCTAAGTCAAACAAGTTTTTTTACATTTATAGGAGATAATGCTGCCTGCTTCTTAATTACAATGTCACCTGAAAGTGAGAACAGGTATTTGCATGGCACTTTTGTAGCCGGCATTGCAAGGTATTTACATGCCAGATATGCTAAACATTCGTATGCCTCTTCAAGCTTCAGCCTCCATGCCAGAGGACATGCTTCCATGCTGATGACACTCGTTAAAAAAATAATGTGTTAATTACATTTTTGTCTGAACTCCTTGGGGGAGAATTGTATGTCTCCTGCTCTGTTTTTCCTGCATTCTGTCATATATTTCATGTTATAGCACTCTAAGATGATGACCCAGCACATGTTGTTCATTTTAAGAACACTTTCACTGCAGATTTGACAAAATGCAAAGAAGGTATCAATGTGAGATTTCTACTCATTGAAATCTATAGCTACAGATAGCTACAGCACTCAACCCAAGGTTTAAGAATCTGAAGTGCCTTCCAAAATTGAGAGGGAAGAGGTGTGGAGCATGATTTCAGAAGTCTTAAAAGAGCAACACTCTGATGCAGAAACTACAGAACCCGAACCACCAAAAAAGAAAATCAACCTTCTGCTGGTGGCATCTAACTCAAATGATGAAAATGAACATGTTGGCCCGCTCTGCTTTGGATCATTATTGAACAGAACCTGTCATCAGCATAGAGGCATGTCCTCTGGAATGGTGGTTGAAGCATGAAGGGACATACGAATCTTTAGGGCATCTGGCATGTAAATATCTTGCAACGCCAGCTACAAAAGTGCCATGCGAATGTCTGTTCTCACTTTCAGGTGACATTGTAAACAAGAAGTGGGCAGCATTATCTCCTGCAAATGTAAACAAACTTGTTTGTCTGAGTGACTGGCTGAACAAGAAGTAGGACTGAGTGGACTTGTAGGGTCTAAAGTTTTACATTGTTTTATTTTTGAATGCAGTTATTTTTTGTACATGATTCCCCATTTGTAAGTTCAACTTTCATAATAAAGAGATTGCATCTCAGTACTT